AAAAAAAAAAAAAAAAAAAAAAAAAAAAAAAAAAAAAAGTTGTGCTTGCCAACCTCGCAGAAGAATCCACCCCATTCCAAGACTTCTTCTCTTTCAGAGCCCACAATACATTGTGCCAGATATTCTACTCTTGCCCTCAGCAGTGGGACCCCCACCTTAGCCAGAGAGTATTAGCCATCTGGCCAATACTGCCCCCCAGAAGCAGGCAGGCAGGAGATGCTCCTTGAAGCCCACCATGGACCATGCTCCAGGCTCCATTCATCAGTGTATTTCATCCTCACCACAACCTTGGAAGGGTGGTTTTAGATCCCCACTTTACAGATGAGGAAACTGAGGCTCAGAGCAGTTAGGAAAATTACCTGATGCTTCTTGGCGGGAAAGTGGCGAAGCCAAGACTCACACCCAGGTTTGTCGACAAAGCCAGGCCTGTTCCTCCTGGCATGGGACAGCATGCCAGCGCCCCTCATCTGATGCAATCCTCCACCCCCACCTGGCCCACGCAGGCTCAGACAGAAGCAGTAGCCATGAGCAGGGCCAGAAGATCCTCCCCAGGAGCGGGCTGGGGCAGGCAGGGACTCCACAGTCACGCTGGGTGGGGGGATGGTGCGTGTGCCAGAGCCCAAGGGGGTGGGAGGCTGGCAGACAGGAGCCAAGGGTGCAATTTCCCACCGACTCTGCCCCAGATTCCATCTGGGGAAGCCAGAGGCAGGACTCACAGCCCTCCAGAGGGAGAAACTGGGTAACCCCCATCTTCCACCACCTTTCCTAGAACAGCACCGAGGACAGCTCCCCTCCCCCAAGTCAGGAGGTGAGGTGCCCATCCTCACCATGGGAGAACCACAGGGTACCCCACTCTAGGAAGAAACAAGGTCTCAGAACAAGAGTCCTAGATGCCCCCATTGGGGAATGAAAAGAGCACCAGAGTGAGTCAGCAGCCTGGGGTGCTAAGAGGCCCACAGCTCAGTAAGGCGGCATGCCCTGCCCCCAGAGAGTTCTCGCTCTAAAGCTAACCCTAAAGCGAACTCCTCAACCTCCAAGGTGCACCCAGATCGCCAAGAATCTCGCTAAAATGCAGATTCTGATTCAGCAGGCCTGGGGTGAAGCCAGAGATTCTGCACAACTCCTCAGCTCCCGAGTGAAGCCGTGTTGCTGGGCTGGGGACCACAGAGGTGCGGCCCAATGCACACTGGAATCAGCTGAGGAGCTAAGCCACCCTGAGGCCTGGGACCACCCCCAGAGGTTCTGGTCTAATAGGCACTGGATGGAGCCTGGGCTTTAGGACCTTTAAAAGCTCATCGGGTGATTCTAGCATGCAGCCAAGCTTGAGAACCCCTGCCTGCATTGCAGGCACAGACATAGAAATAGCTTTCACAGGCCTGAGTGATAGAGGCATCCGAAGATGTGACTGGTGCAGTCATTTCAACCTGGGGAGTGGAACCCACATGAACGAGAGGATCTCCCAGTTTTAAAGGACTTACTATGTGCCAGATGCAGTGCTATGCTGCCTACATTCATCTCAGTTCATCCTTACTGTAACACTAAGAGGATGCGTACAGCTGCCCCATTCTACGGCCGTGGAAACTGAGGCTCTAGGTGGTGAAGTCATTGGGCCAAGCTCTCTCAGAGTAAGTGGCAGAGCCAGATCTGAAACCTAGGTCTGTCTACCTCCAGGACCCGTGTTCATGGCACTGTCTCTCCCCACCCAAGGGAAGATGTCACAGAGAGGGTGACTTTGAAACTGGGCCCTGAAGGTGGAGCTGAATGCTGATCATGATTCCAATAAACGTCTCTCTGGGCTTCAACTTCCTCATCTGTATAAGAAAGGGGAGGGACTTCCCTGGCAGTCCAGTAGTTAAAACTCCATGCTTCCACTACAGGGGGCACGGGTTCTATCCCTGGTCGGGGAACTAAGATCCCACATGCTGCACAGCTTGGCCAAAAATTAAAAAAAAAAAAAAATATATATAAACACAGAAGTACAAGACAAAGGCGAATGAGACTTCTCTTATATCTTAGCAACATTTAGATGGAAATCAAATTTAAATGCAGTCCACTCTGCTTTTGAAGAGGCTTTGGTTCAGCTCCCAAATCTCGATTGCTTGACGCAGTCTCCTATGAGAATACTCAAAAAAAAAAAAAAAAAAAAAAATATATATATATACACACACACACACACACACACACACACACACACACACACACACATACGTATATATATGTGTGTGTGTGTGTGTGTATATATATATATATATATATGTATGTATAAAGAAAGGGGAGACCAGATGGTCTTGAGGACCCTTCCAGCATCCTTGTTCTGCGAGTCCAGTCTCCCTGGTTTCACCAATGCTCTGTTTCTCTCTCCAAAGATATAAAGTACATCGAGGTGACCTCGACCAGATCAAGGTGCCACGACGGCCCCCAGAGCTGCTCCAGCCCATCTGTCACCCCACCCTTCGGCTCCCCTGGCTGTGGCGGCCTTCTCCTTTCCAGAGACATCCCCCGAGAGACTCGGAGCAACAGTGAGAGCCTCATCTTCTCCGGGAGCCAGGGCAGGGGGCACCAGCGCCCCTCTCCCCCCTCGGGGGCCCCTTCCTCTCATCCACCACCCTCTCCCAGCATCTCCATCCCTGGAATGGGAAACAAGGCCTCAGACCGCCATGGCTTGGGCTCCCCACTGGTGGCTTCCCCAGCCTTGGAGAAGGGGCTGGGGGGCAGGGTCTCCATGCTGTCAGCCAGCCCAGCATCTGATGTCAGTTACGTGTTTGGAAGGTAGGTCACCCCCACTGCAGCTTCTGACGTTGCCTCCACAACTCCACACACACACACACACACACACACACACACACACACACACACACACACACGCATCCTAAAATCACAGAGGGACACTCTACTCTTTCTGAGCAAAATCTGGGCATGTACCAAAAATAAAAGTGAATGTTCTCTTTGATGCCATCACAGCCATTTGGCTCTGAAGCTTTCCTCGAGCATTTAGAATATGATTCAATATACAAAAATCTTGACTTCTACCTACCTCTCGGGAAAAGAACCACACTGCATTAATGAGGCTCACCTGTACCCTTTCCAGCCTTCCTACAGCCCATCTGTAGGAAGGATTTTTTTTTTTTTTTTAATTTAAAAAACCCCAAACACAGGATGTAAACAGAATCGGGGGTCTGGAATGAACCATCCAGGAAAGGAAAACCTCCTTCGTCTTTGTTCCTGGCAAAATCTAGCAGGAAGGAGACAAAACTGCCTGGGCATTGTTTACAATCACCCCAGCCCAATTCTCTGCAGGCCTCAGAGCAGAGCCACACGCATACCCATCCTGCCCAGGAAGAGCAAACCCCAGGACCTCTGTCCCCCATACCAACTCCAAAACCACTGTGCCAAGGCAGTCCCTGGCAAGGAGACTGGGATTCCACAGCCATGCCCGCTGGCACAGGCCTCTGAGCTCAGGCATAAGCCTGGCTGGATGCAGAGCTGGCCTCCTTCTCTTCCTCCAGCTGGGGAATTCCGTCTGCATGGGCCATGGGCATGGTCCAGCTCAGGTCCAGCCTGTGTGCAGGACTCTTGGGAGTGCTGGGGGGCTGGTGTGACAACTCAGTTGGACCTGCCTAGCTGGGAAGGCAGAGGGAATAGGGAATAGAGTCCAGCCTAAGCCCATGTGACCTGCAAGGGGCCAGCCCACTGGCTACTTTAATTGACCACAGACCCTGCAATGCAGGTACACTCCTGTATCCTTCAGCATCCCTTGGGGATCAAGTGGGCATACCCTTTGCTCAGGGCTATGGGGTGGGGGGTTGGAGTATGCACTACTCTGACCAAAGCCATGGGTACCTAGATCACTAAATTCCAGAGCCTAGCTCTGGCCCCTAAGTGTCCACCCCCACCCACTAAAACTCTGCCTGTCTGGTGCTCTCCCCATGCCACAGCCAGTCCCTCCTCCGCTCCAGCATCTCCAGCCATCAGTCATCTTCGAGATCCTTGGAAAGCCCAGCCAGCTCTTCCTCCAGCCTTGGCCCAGTGTCCTTGTATACGAGAGCCAGTGACCTCCAGGTCCCCAGCAACCCCACCCCAAGCATTGGCCAGCCCAGAGCAACCCATTCCTCACCACTGGCCAAGGAACATGCCAGCAGCTGTCCCCCATCCATCACCAACTCCATGGCGGACATACCGATCGTGCTGATCAACGGCTTTCCAGAACCAGGATCTCCCCCATCCCAGAGGACCCCAGGACCCCAGGCCTTTGTCTGCCCTGGGGCTACTTCTTCCAGCAACCCCTGTGCAGCCACCAGGAGCCACGGCCAGACCCTGCCAGATGCCCCTCTCACCACATCCCCAGAGGGTAAGCTGTAAACCAATCAGTACCTCACACTTCATGAGGTTTGGCTAATGGGGAATAGACAAAGCACCAATGCATTTGCTTCTGCAACAGCAGGTCAACCAACACACTGATTAAGTACCTACTGTGTGCCTAGCACTGTGCCACATAGTAGGGACACAGTCTAGAAAGAGAGAAAAAAAAAAACAAAGGATCACTGTAGAGTAGGAGAAACACAGAGGTAAAGAGATGTTCTAAGTCTTATGGGGCTACAGAGGAAGGAGTGAGACTTTTCATCTGGGGACTGAAAAGGCTGGAAAGTGGATCAGAAGTCGATGGCCGGAGCAGGAGAGGAAGGGCAGTCCCAGCAGAGGGAACATCCAGGCCATAGTCACGAAGGTATGGAAGCACGTGGCATGTTTAGGAAATGACTGGAATGTTGGGTGCGGGATGAGGTCATCGGGAGTAACTTGGGCCCAGATTGGGAAAGACCTTGAATGCCAAGCAAAAGAGTGCACTTTACCCTTTAGGCAATAGGGGACCATCGGAGACTCTCAAACAGGAGAGCGATGGGGTCAGAGACACACGTTCAATCGATCACTCTGGCAGCTGCGTGGCAGATGGATTGCAGGGCCTGGCTTGGCAGGGAGAGCAGTTTTTCTTTGGTTCTGTTTGGGTTTTCATCACAAAGTGGTCCAGGGCAGGGCAGAGGGTGGAGGAGAGAAGACAGAGCCAGGAGACCCTCAGGATATGGAAGCAGCAGGCTTGATGACTAACCCAAGAGAGGGAGAGGGAGAGTCAGTCCTAACTCTGACATTGGTGGATGACGAACACAGCCAGGGGAACGGAGACAATGCATTCCAGTTCAGACAGCTAAAAACCACAAAACAGCAAACACCCTCCTTCCCGTAGTCTGTGACTACAGGCGTCCAAAAAGAACAAAAAGCCCAAAGCAGTAAACACAGAGGCTAAGCCTCAGCACCCCCAGGGTGTTTCTCTCCCAGGAGCAGAGCCCACGGCTCCCTCGTGGCTGAGCCACGAGGCTCCCCGGGCCTCTCAGTCCTCACTGGGCCACAGACGTCAAGGTACTCCTGGGGGGTGTGAAATGTTCACTGTACCCCGCTGCTCGCTCCCACCCAGGAAGCTGTGTCAGTGCAAGCAAGAGAAAATGAGGTGATGAGTATGCCTTTTTTTTTTTTTTTTTTTTTTTTTGCGATATGTGGGCCTCTCACTGTCGTGGCCTTTCCCGTTGCCGGACGCACAAGCTCAGCGCCCATGGCTCACGGGCCCAGCCGCTCCGCAGCATGTGGGATCCTCCCGGACCGGGGGCACGAACCCGTATCCCCTGCATCGGCAGGCGGACTCTCAACCACTGCGCCACCAGGGAGGCCCGATGAGTATGCCTTTGAAGCTGCTCCGATCTGTTCCTAGGACAAATCATTTGCAGATTTCAGTACTTTTTTTTTTTTTTTCGCGGTACACGGGCCTCTCACTGTTGTGGCCTCTCCCGTTGCGGAGCACAGGCTCCGGACGTGCAGGCTCCAGACGCGCAGGCTCAGCGGCCATGGCTCACGGGCCCAGCCGCTCCACGGCATGTGGGATCTTCCCGGACCGGGGCACGAACCCGCGTCCCCTGCATCGGCAGGCGGACTCTCAACCACTGCGCCACCAGGGAAGCCCCAGTACATTTTTTATAATGAGTTACTCTCAGCTGGCCACGACACACCTTTTCAAGATGCCAAAACTGAGAACCACTGCTCTCTGCCTTAGGGACCCAGGAAAATGGGCATTTTCGCATCTCAAAGAGCACATTTACTTAGCCTAAAGGGATTTTGCCCCTTTAGGCATCTGGAGATACAATGGAGTAGGGGTAGGGGAGGGTGGGTTGAATGGCACTGCTGGGTGGAGGAGGGGGTCGGGTCTCTCAGCTCCCCTCTCTCTAGTCTACAGGGTCCCCCTCCTCTGTCTGTCTCCAGGCCCTGCCAGGGACATGCAGCCCACCATGAAGTTTGTGATGGACACATCTAAATACTGGTTTAAGCCAAGCATCACCCGAGAACAAGGTAAAAGGGAAGCCGTGTTTTAGGGAATGAGTGACCCAGGAATCAGGTCCAGGTCCTGGCACCCCACATGGGGCAGATGGGGCCCTGGGTCCATGGAGAGGAGGGAACGGCAAATGGCAGGTCCAGGGAAGGGGGGGTGTCCCGTGAACCCCATGACCTGCAGGAATGGTGGAGGTTAGACGATAGAAAGGACTTCCTGGGAACCAAAGGTGATTCTGTACCATCTGCTCTATGAAGACCCAATGGGGCTGAGGCACAGAGGGTGTCCGGGTTCGGTGGTGACTGTCTCTGACCCAAGGCTTGTTTCAGCCATCGAGCTGCTGAGGAAGGAAGAGCCGGGGGCTTTCGTCGTGAGGGACAGTTCTTCATACCGAGGCTCCTTTGGTCTTGCCCTGAAGGTGCAGGAGGCCCCTGCACCTGCCCAGAACCGAACAGGTAGGCACCTGTCTCTGTCCTCACTCAAGACCTCTAGGAGGCAACAGGGTGTGGTGGGTTCCAGTCCCGGCTCTGCCCCTGGCTTGTGGGGTGACCTTGGGCCAGTCCCATAATGACTCCTGGGAGGAGGGCCTACCTCAGCCCCCTCCCCACTGCCCCCCAGCACTGAGGCTCCCCGAGTCCCCAGATTCCCTGCTCTACCCTCGTGGTGGGAAGAGGAGGATGGTCCCAGCCCCCCTCCAGGCTGCTCTCTTCTGGGTGCCCACCTCTGTCCAGACGGGATTTCTTGTGAGGAAACCTAATGTAGTAATAACATGTGTGCTAGCTTAACCCCGCATACAACACACATCGATGGGGCATCCACCCTGCCCCAGGCACTGTGCAAGGCACCACGGAGACCTCACTGGGGAGAGAGATAGAAACAGATCATTACATTACAAGGTACCTGGGTCACAACACCTCACCTAAGGCCCAGGACTGTAGCTCTCACACAACAAATGGGTGAGGTAACAGACACTCCCAGAGGGAGTTAATGACCCCCCAGAGCAAGCAAGTGATAGAGCGAGAGGATTAAAAACCCCGTATCCACATTCTCTACAGGACGCCTCTCTGTTTAAATAAGAAAGTGACCTCTGGGCAGCGTTAGTTATCAAGGAAGCCTTGCCAATGAGCCCAAAGAAAGCAGGAAGCTGCAGGCTGGTGAGGAGGCAGGGGCGTGGTCCCCCCTCCCAGGGTCAGCCTGGCGCCAGCAGGGACCATCTGGTGGAGAATAATAGCACCTGGGAGGGGGTGGGTAGGGAGAGAGGGAAACCAGGACAGAGAGCTGTGATTTGATCTAAACAGAGCCGGCAGCCATCCCTGATGGCTGTTGAAACCAAAAGAAAGAATTACTGGACACGGAAACCTTTGAGCTAAAGGTGTGGGCACCTCCTTCGTGGGAGGCCTTGAGGATAAGATTCCTACCTGCTGTCCCACCCAGAGGCAGAGGGTTGGACAAGTTAACCTCTGGATGGGCCCCGAGGAGGCAGGTCAGGAAATGAGTTGCACTCCCATCCACATGCTTTATCTGTCCAGGCGAGGACAGCAGCGACCTCATCCGTCACTTCCTCATCGAGTCTTCTGCCAAAGGGGTGCATCTCAAAGGAGCCGAGGAAGAGCCCTACTTCGGTGAGCTGAGCATCTGCAGCCCCCAGGCCCCTGGGCTGTGGCCTGGGAAGGCCTCCTTATGCTGGGCTCCTGTTTCCTTGCAGGGAGCCTCTCTGCCTTCGTGTGCCAGCATTCCATCATGGCCCTGGCCCTGCCCTGCAAGCTCATCATCCCAAAGAAAGGTGGGCTGGGTCCCCAGACCTGTTTGTTCTCAGTAGAAAGGTTCCTGCGGGTCACTTCTCACCTTATTTAGGGATCATTTTAGTGTCATAGTTAAAAGTGCACACTCTGGGGGAATTCCCTGGCGGTCCAATGGTTAGGACTCGGCGCCTTCACTGCTGAGGGCTCGGGTTCAATCCCCGGTCGGGGAACGAAGATCCTGCAAGCTGGCCCACGCAACCAAAAAAAGAAAAAAGAAAAAAAGTGCACGCTCTGGAGTCCGTCCACATCTCCACTTCCTGGCTGTGAGAATTTGAGAAGGTCAACCTCTCTGAGCCTCCATTTCCTCATCTGTGAAAGGAGCACAGTCACCATCACACCTCCTTCTAGGACTGGTGTGGGGATGCAGCGAGAGAGCTCAGGCAAGGCTCTTGGCACAGTGCCTGGCGCAGAGCAGATCTTAAGAAATAGTAGCTCCTTCCTCAAGAGGATGAAAGGAGCATAAATCTGCCCGTTCGGCGAGGTTTGGTTTTTACTTCCAGGTCCAACATTTACTGGGTACCCTCTCCTTCATTCACAGCTCACTCCAGCCCTGGTAAGTAGGCATTGCTGTTATCCCCATTTCACTGCTAAGAAAAGGAAGGTTCGAATTTGAACCGAAGTCTCTCTTGCTGTCTTGTTCCAAAGTGTTCAGGGAACTAACAGAGAGCAAAGGACAAGCCTGTATCATGAAAATCAAGGAGGAGAATTATGAGAACAAATAAATGATCAGTGGGTGAAATGTGGGAAAGAAAGAAAGAGAGAGAGAGGGAGGGAGGGAGGGAAGGGAGGAAAGGAAGGTTCAAGGCACTAAGTAACTTGCCCAAAGGCACAGAGTCAGACCTCCAACCCAGATCAGGAAGCCCCATCCAAAGCTTACAGGCCACCGCACCCCCAGACGCGCCCACACCTCAGGGTGTGCAGGAGAGCCACTAGGGGGGTTCTGGGAGAGGAGTCAGGGCCAGGGGAGCCCCTGGTGTGGTGATGGCGAGAGCCTCCCTGCTTTCTGCATTTGGCCTGGGTTTCCGGTGGGGTCCCAAAGAATGAGGAAGTCGGGGGCCTCTGAGGCCAGGTCGCTGCCGCAGTCCAGGGGCTGGACGAGGGACAGATCACAAGGCTTGCCAGCGAGGCGTTTGGGGAGCCCTAGGCGGCTGTTCGCCTCATTACAGGAATCACACCTGGTTTCTCAGCCAAGTCACTTCCCGAAGGTGTGGGCGGAGGTGGAAGAGATTCAAAGGGCTGAACGAGGCCTGTTCCTAGGAGGGGGGTCCACTGACTGCACCCCCGCCCCCTGGGGGCCTGTTTCATTGCTTTGGCTCAGAATTGGGAGGTGGAGACGGGGCCTCAGACCTCTCTGCAGACGGCCGGGCCTCCTGCCTGAAGAAATCTGCGGGTGAGTGGTATGGGGCAGGGGGAGGCTCCAGGCTTGGCTGTGCCCACCCCCCGCAGGGCACCTCCCAGCCCTGTGCGCACTCGCACACGCAGGTCCACACGTGTTTCCCATTGCAGCTTTATTTCTTCGTCTTTAACAAGGTGCCACATTCCTCCCCCTCCCTGTGAGCCAGGAGATGAGAAGCTGCAGGCAGTTGTCCAGGAGGAAGAGGGGCAGGAGAGGAGGGGCACAGTGAGGCTTACACCCCCTCCTGCACACACGGGTTGGGGGGGGGCACATAGATGTGCTGGGGTCTCGCCAGGTCTGAAGGACCTGCCCTGGGGGTGGGATCCTCTGTGGAGTGTCAGGTCCGGGTCCTGGGGTCTTCCACAAGGGAAGGGTCGTTCCTCCTCGCGCCCAAGGGCCAGACACAAGTCAGCACTTGTCTGAGTGACAGCTCCTACTCTGTGCCCTGAGCACGATGGCCCCTTCCCCATTCCTGTCTCCCCTTCCTTCTCTCAGCAAGGAACCAGGGCCCCAGGGGGAGGGTGGGGAAGGATGGAGGCAGCACCAGCCATGGGACAGAGGAAGGCTTGCCTGGATGCCCCTACATACAGGGCAACATCCCCTCCCTTGCCCCCTGCTGGAGGGCCAGGGGCCAGAGCAATGCAAACAGCAGGCAACCCCAAAGTCCCCTGGGGTTGGTCCCAAATTTCAGTGGCCCATACACTCCCTGCCCACCTGTCCGGTGGCTCAAAGAGTAGCCCTGCTAGATTTCCAAAAAAAGGAAGGTACTCCTATCCCCTGGCTCTGGGCAGAGGGCCAGCCAGGGTCTGGGTGACCTCCACCCCCCAGTGGATTCTGGCAGGGCTCCAATGCAGTATCTGCACCCCCCAGGTTGCCATGCCCTGTACCTGAGCTCCGTGAGCGTGGAGACCCTGAGCGGAGCCCTGGCTGTGCAAAAGGCCATCTCAACCACATTGGAGAGGGATGTCCTCCCCACACCCACCGTGGTCCACTTCAAAGTCACCGAGCAGGGCATCACCCTGACTGACATCCAGAGGAAGTAAGGGGCTTCCCTTGCCCTGGGGCTGAGGGCTGGGCAGGGTAAGCTGGAGGGAATGGCTGAGACTGCTATGGAGCAGTAATGGAGATGGAGTTCAGGCTCCTGGACCCAGCAGGGTCAGTGACGTGCTGAGTGACTCCAGGCAAGTTCTCTGCCTTCTCTGAGCCTCAGTCCAATGACCTCCTGCCAAAGTCCCGCTTCATCATGACCGATGGATTTGGAATTAACCAATAGTCATTGGGCACTGATTAAATCTGTAGCCACTGATGGTACATCTCCTGTAGGCCAGACTCTGGCTGACCAATGAGATCACTCCTTCCCAGGCTCAGGGATTCAGTCTAGCATGATCCTGGTCCTGGGCTGGAGGAATAAGAGATGACCAGATGCTGGGAATTCCCTGGTGGTCCAGTGGTCGGGACTCCGCACTTACACTGCCGAGGGCCCCGGTTCAATCCCTGGTGGGGGAACTAAGATGGCACAAGCCGCGCGGCACAGCCAAAAAAAAAAAGAGAGATGACCAGATGTAATTCCTATCTTCACTAAATGACATGACAGGCAGTGGGGGTGGAGCAGGTGGTAGAAAACCCCAACATATGGGACAGAAGGAAAAGGCACTTCATGAAAGGAGAGAAGTGCAAACACGTGCCCCGGGCCCAGCAGTGGGAAAGGCCATGGCAGCCTGTCAGGGGTCATCAAACTGAGAGCTTCTTGGAAGACAGGGAGCTGGAGATGGTGGAGGCGGGGCAGGACACTGGGAAGGGCCCTCACCAGCTCCCCTTCCCTTCCGGCCTCTTCCCAGGGTGTTTTTCCGGCGCCATTATCCCTTCGCCACCCTCCGCTTCTGTGGCATGGACCCCAAGCAACGGAAGTGAGTTCAAATCTGAGCCAAACTAAAAAGACCATCCAGGTCCTAGCTGCCCACCGACGCTGGGATTCGGATCCCAGACAGAGCCTGTGAACCTCAAGGGGTCAGGAGCAACAGAATGAGGGGGACATGGTGGGAGTGGGGACACAACTGGCCATTATCTCCCGAAGCTCAGCCAGACTCCTGTGAAATGGAGCAAAGACTTGGTACTCAGGACTGTCGTGTTCCTTTCCCACAGGTGGCAGAAATACTGCAAGCCCTCCCGGTAAGGCCTTCCTGTCCACTCAGTCGCCATGAGAGGTCTCCCTCGGGGAGGCCTGGACCCAACATGGGGAGGGAGTGAGGGAAGGAAGGAGGCCCCGCCCTGATCTTAAGAGCCCATGGGTTTGATGGCGGAGGGCACAGGCCCGGGCCCTCAGGGAGCCACCAGTTCGATGTCTTATGTGGGAGGCGCAGGCTTTAGTCTGTAAGGATGCCTCAGGCTGATGGTCAAGACACACCTTCGCCCTCAGGAAGCTTCGACTCTGATGGGGAATACACAGGTCGTGTCCTCAGGCGCCCCCATTCCACAGGAGGGAAACCCAGATCTTAAACTCAGGGATCTCTCGGTCTGACAGGGGAGGCTCCCGTCATAGTGAGGTGCCGGGCTGGGGTAGGGCAGAGAAGAAAGCTGCTCCCAGCCTGGTACCTCCCTGGGTCCCGCCCCTCACTCAGGCTCTCCTCTCCCATCAGGATCTTTGGGTTTGTGGCCAAGAGCCAGACCGAGTCACAGGAGAATGTGTGCCACCTCTTTGCGGAGTATGACACTGTCCAGCCAGCCTCGCAGGTCATCAGCCTGGTGGGTGCTCTGCTGCAGGACCCAGAAAGGATGTAGGGGAGGGAGCTTCCTGTGTGTCTTCCTAGGCGTCCCAGTGGGCGTGCTCAGAATGCCCCCTCCACCCTGAGCGAGAGGCCTCTTACCCTGATGGACCAATCCCCCGACCGGAGGAGAAGGGTACCAAGTCGAAACCCTTGAACTCAGTATGACCTTCAGCGGTGACCTTCAGCCAGCGCCCCCCCAACCCGGGCCTCAGTTTCTTTAACCTCAAAGGAGGCCCACGGCAGGATCAGCTGTTCTTCTCAGACGTCTGTGGGCATCTTAACAAGCTCCCTGTGATTCCGAAGCACGCCCACATCTGAGGACCCCCACACGAAAATAACCTCTGAAGACCCCTGACTCCATCCTCCTGGACACTCCCGACACAGTAGCCTGAGCTAGAGACCCGTGACCCCTGCTTCATGCCAAATGCAGGTACGGGGTCGGGACTCCTGGGCCCTGGCCCGAGGCTGGCCTGAGAGCAGATGGGTTGCCAGCACTGAGGACCAAAGGAGGGATGGACTGACTCTTT